ATTTTTTTTGAACGGTCTCTCTACATTGTTCCTTAAAGTCCGCATTCCATAAAAGAAAATCACCCCCACTAAGGTTGGCGCGGGCCAGGAACTTCCAATCATTAGGGGTGAGCCAGCGCGCACTTTGGTTTTCTAACAAGGCTAACATATAAGGGGCAGTCGGGCCATATTGGGCACATGCATTTTTAAGCTTGTCAACAAACTGAAAGCTAAGCCTCTTATATTCTTGTTGGCCTTTTCTCTGGGTGGGTTGTTCCTCTTCATCCCCAGCATCCTGTTCCTCATCCTCCTTTTCCTCCTCTTCTGATTCATCCTCCTCACCTTCTGAGGTCCTATTTGTCTGGCTCTGAGTTACTGGAAAGTCGAGAACTGGTTGATGGCGTGATATAACCTTAATTTTATTAGGCGGTTTAGGCCTATCGGCCAAGGCCAGTGTGCTGAGTTCATAATCAAGGGACCACAGTTCTTTTAAAAGTTGAAGGTGTTCTCGCCTATGTTGAAGGGACTCACATAAAGGTGCCAGGTTAGGTAAAGGGGGGAGAGAAAAAACATCTGGATCTGGAGGGACGGTGGGCTTTTGAAGGGCTGGGTCACAAAAGGAAGGGATTTTCAGTAAATTGACCAGAAGGCATATCTAATACAACCGATGGGCAAGCTGCGGGGGGCCAAGAAGCATGTTGGAGAACCTCCTCTCCCGTTTTTACAAGTTGTAAAATTCCACTATCAAATAGAGAACATTTTAAAATGTCATTAATCAAATTCCAATAGGAAAACATGGTAGCAGGAACCTTTTCCGAACCAAAGGTTTCATAATAATCTGTTAAACAATCTCCTACTCTTTGCCATCTTTTTGCATCTATGGTTCCTTCAAAGGGGAACAGGACACAAGTCCTCTATGAATGAGAAAAATAATTGTAAATCCCTTTTCTTAACCCATGTTCCCCGTGTTTTGAAGGCCTCCTTGAGGTCTGACAGAAATAGATCATGTGACAATATTGCTTGTCCCATGGTGGGTCACTCACCATTCGCCGTCCCCACTCTCCTCCTGGATCTGTGTCTCGGCGGGGTCTGTCGAGGTGATCTCAGACTGTACTTGGCCAAGTTTTCTCAGAGGACAGCATTCCTTCCTTAGTCAGAGGCTCATGCCTCACATTGGGTGCCAGTTGTCCTGACCCGCAGGACTTCAACGAGGGCAGAGAACCTAAGTGAGAAGGAATGAAGGGACAAGAGACAAGAAAAATGACAGCAAGACAAGGATTCTGATCAAGCTGCAAATTTTTATTTGTCACACAGGGGTATTTATATGCTTAGAATAAGGAAGCTTTTTCATTGGCTGTAGCAGCTGCAGGATGTTTGCTTAGGGCAGTGTGAAAAGGTGGTAGGTAGCAGCTACAGGGTGTTTGCTTGGGGCACAATGAAAAGATGGGATTCTGTAAACAGCCTCAAGATGTTCCAGTGAGATAATCAAGCCTATCATACTGAGAAACTCCCTTTTAGCTCCCAAAACTGTACCCTGACGATCATCAAGAAAAGGTACGGGAACTGACAAAGATGCAGGAAAAGAAACCTTGCGTGGTGCCCTCAGAATGTGAGCCAGTGCACTATGGGACTCAGAATGGAAAACCCTCCACAGACTAAAAGCCAAGACACCATGATCCTTCTCCTCACTCCTGCACACACCCAAGGGGGTCTCGGGCAGTCTATGACATAGTGACCACACAGTTGTGTTTGTCTTGAACTGTCTACAATAGGAAAGGTTTGGGGATCAGACTGAGTCCCTTCAATGGATTCCTCAATGGATGAACCTAGAAAGTGTGCTATGTATACAGAATGGAATTACTCAGCTGTATAGAGGAATGAACTTACATCACTGGAAGAAAAATTGAAGAAATTGAGAACACTTTGTTGATGAAAATAAACCAGACTCCAAAGGAGTAATGCTG